ATTATCCAACAACAACCCTTCCTTGTCTAGGAGTAGCTTTCTCCAAAACTCAGGTTGTAATCTCCCACTGGGCAACATCTGGAAACCACACACCTTAGCAATCTTTTTAAGTTTCAACATTGCATCTTCCCCTGCCCTTTCTTTCACAATGTCACAAGCTAGCAAGCCCTTAGCAGGTCTAGCGTGTTCCTGTCCCATTTCTGAGTAACCAAAGCGTGCCACACGTGGAAGACAAAGAAGTATAGTAAGTACAAGGGAAAAAGAATGTCTACAGTGCTCGACTGCCACGAGAACTTGAGTCCCGTACGTCTTCCCCAAACGTAGACCAGTCACGGAGATCCGCCCACCCGGGGTGGTGGTCACGGACGGGAGCGAATGAGCGTGGGTGACTAACACAGCTCTGGGCAACAGGCACAGGAGAGATAAAGAACAAAGGAGAAAATGAACGTGGCTGCGCTAATGAGAAGACATTTGCATAAATCACAAACATACAAATGAGCGTAAACTCCGGAATCCAGAACTAACCACACAACACACACACACACACCAAGGGTACCCACACTGTAACAACAATTAAACAGAAACCACAGAATGATAGAGAGCAAAATAGCCATGTACATGTTAACACCACCGGTGTCGGATATTCAGGGTATAACAATCCCCAGCCTTCACCCAACAGGCTGGTCCCGGCAAAACACTGGTACCAAAGGAAATACTGCAATAATCAACCAAAAATCCCAGCCCCACCGGCTGCAATGCGTTCCCTGCCCGCTAGGCAGTCAAGCTAACATAAAAACCCAGCCCCACCGGCTGAAATGCGTTCCCTGCCCGCTAGGCAGTCAAGCTAACATAAAAACCCAGCCCCACCGGCTGAAATGCGTTCCCTGCCCGCTAGGCAGTCAAGCAAACATATAAAATGCGTTCCCTGCCCGCTAGGCAGTCAAGCAAACATATAAAATGCGTTCCCTGCCCGCCAGGCAGTCAAGCAAACATATAAAATGCGTTCCCTGCCCGCTAGGCAGTCAAGCAAACATATAAAATGCGTTCCCTGCCCGCTAGGCAGTCAAGCAAACATATAAAATGCGTTCCCTGCCCGCTAGGCAGTCAAGCAAACATATAAAATGCGTTCCCTGCCCGCTAGGCAGTCAAGCAAACATATAAAATGCGTTCCCTGCCCGCTAGGCAGTCAAGCAAACATATAAATTGCGTTCCCTGCCCGCTAGGCAGTCAAGCAAACATAAAAAATGCGTTCCCTGCCCGCTAGGCAGTCAAGCAAACATATAAAATGCGTTCCCTGCCCGCTAGGCAGTCAAGCAAACATATAAAATGCGTTCCCTGCCCGCTAGGCAGTCAAGCAAACATATTTTTAAAGGTATAATAAACACACACACATAAATGAATACAGGAGGCAGATAGACAATCGACAGGTTCACTTAAAAAGGGCGCACCGGATGAGTTAATTACCTGTCTCTAGTAGCCTTCTGGAAGCCGGAAGTGGACTCGGAGACAGACCGGCACAAAACAGGAGAATAACACAGGCAACAGCTGTATTATGGAGGTGATCAGGCTCCGCTTGTCCCACTTTCCGGAGGTCCGCTCCGGTCCGTTGGTTCCGGCCCTCCGAACCGGCTCTCCGGTGGGCCCCACGTTGGGCGCCAATTGAAATGGAAAAATCAATCAAAGTATTGATTATTTCTTTGTGTATCTGCCCCTGGCCAAATCAATGAAACAATGCGTGCACGCTCCCTAAAGTAATTCACACCAGACACAGGTTCCAGGTTGTTGAATAACTTGAGGAAAGTTTATTCAGAGGGGACGGCAAGTCCATTTTAAAGCAAAATTACATCATAAGCATTGTCAGAGATAACATGGAATAATACATCAATTATTGGTTAGGTGTTAAGTGGTTGCTTCAATGCTCTGCCTACTGTAGGTGATGTCACCGGGGCCATGAGGGTCTCCCACGGTTTACCGGCGCCATCTTGGTGCACGAGGTAGTTAGTCGATGTTAGGAAGGAGAAAGGGAGGGGAGGGGGAAGGAGCTAGAAGCTTCCAGCAGCCATCTTAATTATAACGTGTGTGTTTAGCTATATGTATATATATCGTGAAATGAGTAAATAGACATTTTTCACTAACTAGGAAATATGTGCAGACCTTATTTCCACAACAAATATAATCAAACATATACAGCAAATATGCAAGCAATGACTGTAACCAAAAAAGAAGCGATCAGAAAATCTCTGGTCTAAGTAGTACAAACTAAATGTTGTGACCACCAATATAAAAAAACAATATTATGATACCTGTAAAAAAAAAAAAAATGTGAACCAAGAAATACATACTAAAAATAGAACCTATCGAGGAACGTGAGAAGAGGGTGAAGACGCCAAAAAAATAACACCCCCAACGTTTCGGCACTATCTGCCTTTATCAAGGGAGCATGTGGTCCAAAAGAAATAATAACCTGTATATATACCAACATTTAATAACAAAATGAAAGACACCTGAGTGAAGTGGGTGGCTACCCACAATAGATTGGAACTCTCACAATCATAGTCAACTGGAACCCAGGGCCAACCGCACCAGCACAAGGGGTCTGAGGATCTCATCTCGGTACCTAATGGCAGTCAGGCTACCTCTGGTGAGCACATGGAGGGCTGTGCGGCCCCCCAAAGAAATGCCACCCCACAACATTACTGACCCACTGCCAAACCGGTCATGCTGGAGGATGTTGCAGGCAGCAGAACGTTCTCCACGGTGTCTCCAGACTCTGTCACGTCTGTCACATGTGCTCAGTGTGAACCTGCTTTCATCTGTGAAGAGCAGTGGCAAATTTGCCAATCTTGGTGTTCTCTGGCAAATGCCAAATGTCCTGCACGGTATTGGGCTGTAAGCACAACCCCCACCTGTGGACGTCGGGCCCTCATACCACCCTCATGGAGTCTGTGTCTGACTGTTTGAGCAGACACATGCACATTTGTGGCCAGCTGGAGGTCATTTTGCAGGGCTCTGGCAGTGCTCCTCCTGTTCCTCCTTGCACAAAGGCTGAGGTAGCGGTCCTGCTGCTGGGTTGTTTCCCTCCTACAGCCTCCTCCACGTCTCCTGATGTACTGGCCTGTCTCCTGGTAGCACCTCCATGCTCTGGACACTAAGCTGACAGACACAGCAAACCTTCTTGCCACAGCTCGCATTGATGTGCCATCCTGGATGAGCTGCACTACCTGAGCCACTTGTGTGGGTTGTAGACTCCGTCTCATGCTACCACTAGAGTGAAAGCACCGCCAGCATTCAAAAGTTACCAAAACATCAGCCAGGAAGCATAGGAACTGAGAAGTGGTCTGTGGTCACCACCTGCAGAACCACTCCTTTATTGGGGGTGTCTTGCTAATTACCTATAATTTCCACCTGTTGTCTATCCCATTTGCACAACAGCATGTGAAATTGATTGTCACTCAGTGTTGCTTCCTAAGTGGACAGTTTGATTTCACAGAAGTGTGATTGACTTGGAGTTACATTGTGTTGTTTAAGTGTTCCCTTTATTTTTTTGAGTAGTGTACATAGCAGTATCTTAATGTTGTGCAGCCAACCTATAAATGGAAAATAGAGGCAGAGAAGACATGCAAACTTCACATATAGATGTGACCCAAAAAAATGAAAAAAGAAAGAAGACCAGCAAACACTAGGGGAGAATAGAATTACAATAGTCTCCAAGGACCAGATGGAATAAATAAAGAAAAAGAAAAAGAGAAAACCAATATAAAGAATCCAAATAAATAAAATTTAGATAAACATACCATAATCATACAAACTTGTCCTAGTCTCACACGTTCTCCCCAATAAGCTTGCACGTCACAAACACCAAGAATCACATAGGGACTCCCCAGAATACTGTTGCAAAACATATACACATATTGACCTGCAAAAAGCTGGGAGGCGTGTACCCAAGGGGTGCAGTGGTGCAGTGTACTGGGGTGCAGTGTGTTTGTGAAGGATGTAGTTTGTGTGTGTGTGTGAGGGGTACAGTGTGTGTGTATGTGGGGCAGTTTGTGCATGATGGGTACAATGTGTGTGTGTGGGGGGGGCAGGTGGTGTGAGGGGTACCGTGTGTGTGAGGGGGGAAGGTTGTGTGAGGCGTACAGTGTGTGTATGGGGTGCAGTGTGTGTATGGGGTATGTGTGTGTATTGGGGCAGTGTGTGTGTATGGGGGATAGTGGGTGTATGGGGCAGTGTGTGTGTGTATAGGGGGTTTATTGTGTGTATGGGAGGGCAGTGTGTGTATATGGAGGGTAGTGTGCGTATGGGGGGCAGTGTGTGTGTATGGGGGGCAGTATGTGTATGGGGGTAATTGTGGGGGGGCAGTGTGTGTGTGTATAAGGGTAGTGTGTGTATGGGGGAATTGTGTGTATGGGGGATAATGTGTGTGTATGGGGGGCAGTGTGTGTGTGTATTAGGGAGCTATTGTGTGGTGTGGGGTCTGTGGGGGTAGGAGAACAAATTAATAAATATATATATTTTATTTATTTTTTATTAAAAATAAAAATTATGTCCCCCTCCTTGCTTACCTTTGCCTGGGAAGTGGACATTTCATGCAATGCTTGTTGGTCCTAGTGGTGACAGTGAACTCTAGCCGCCTTAGGAGCAATGCTCTTAGCTCGCGAGAGGAGATCCCGGCGGAGTTGCATGTTAGAGCTCCCCCTGGTTCTCCCTCCTTCCCTGCTGGCTGTCAGCAAAGTGCTAGCGGGCTGGAGAGAGAGACATCCTACAGTGCATAGTCATAAGTGCCCACACTCCAAACAAAACACAATTTGGTTATGCCCATTCCGTGTTTTTTAGTATTAATTTGGTCCCTTCTCTAGGTTGTTATTTGTTTATTGTCAGGACTATGAGTGTGCTACCAACATGATTGAAGTTAAGGTTGTTATCGGTAAGTAGTTAGTTGGAGAAAGATGGGGTTGGGGTGTGGGAAGATGGAAAAAAAAGGGGGTATAGATATTACAGGGGGGATATACAGTTGCAAGAAAAAGTATGTGAACCCTTTGGAATGATATGGATTTCTGCACAAATTGGTCATAAAATGTGATCTGATCATCATCTAAGTCACACAATAGACAATCACAGTCTGCTTAAACTAATAATACACAAAGAATGAAACGTTGCCATGTTTTTATTGAACACACCATGTAAACATTCACAGTGCAGGTGGAAAAAGAACCACAGTGGTGGGAGTGTCACTACATTCAAAAGAAGCTTGTAGAGGGCTTAAATGCCTCTACAGGGCCTTCTAGTAGTTTTGTAACTGGAGGTATCTGATGCATTCTAGTGTGGTGGGTGTTCTCCCCTCTAGTAGGGATTATATCTGTTGGAGGCTATCTACTTGGCAAACATCTTTCCAGCACAGTAGTTCACCTCCCTTGCCCTGAGACACCAAAAACAGAGTCAGTCCCTCCGTTGCCTCTGAGTTGTTTATAATCCGCAACATTGAACCTGGGTTTGTTGTGAAATTCATTTTAAAAGCGGAAGGTACTCCATACTCATAGGGTGGCTCCGACTGTGTTGGAGACCAGTATTTTCTATGAAGCCAAACTAATGCTGGTAGGGATTCTTCAAGCTCTAGGGACAATCAGTATGCACTTTTTCAGTGCCACTCTACTACTTGCAAGACATGTATAGCATCGTAGTAGTGTGTTAAAAATGGTAACCCTACCCCACCCTAGCTTTAGGAAGACACAGTGTGTCCATCTTAAGTCTAACATGACCCCTGTTCCACAAATAGCCCAGGATTCCACAAATAGCTCAGCATTGCAAAAAAGTCCCTGGGAATCATGATGGGTGTAGATTGGAGTAGGTAATGTATCATGAGCAGGACATTCATTTCGTCCATATGCCCAAAACAGGAAATATATTGCCCATGCTATTGTGTTAAATCTCAACGTAATGTTTGAACTGACAAACGTTAATTCTGTGCAAATATTACGTCTGTCGCTCTCCCCTGCCTCTGTGTGGTCCCTCTTGCTTCCCTCCATTAAAATAAATAGCGTTTTTTTTTTTCCTTTAAAGTTCAGAACGCACATATGCTCTGAAATGGCTAAACGGTATTACTTTCTATGAAAATCCTTTGATTATACCGCGTGAGTGCGAGGTAACGTCAAACAGTGCATGGAGATCACACTGGCATTGTAATTCAGGTACGTTTTCATGCTTTTACAGGTTTTTAAGGGAGATGGGGGATCTATTAATAAGTTGTAAGAGGACATTGTAAATCAAAAGCAATGTAGTGTCAGAAAAGGTTGCAGTAAATGTTTAAATCCTCTAGTTAGAGATACAGACATGCAGGAAACCTAGCTACAAATCGACAGACAATGCATACAAGGGTGATACACGGTCACAGAATGTCTGTGTTCTTAAAGGAACACAGTCATCATTTTTTTTTCTTTATCTTAAAACAATTGTTATGTTATAATATAGTATCACAACTTTCTTTTAATTCATGTATATTGAAACCACTTGCCTGCATTTACTACTTTACCTTTCAGACCCCAATCTGTAACATTACCAACTGCTGCTTTTCAAAATCCCCTGACAGAAAATGGCGTGGGTAGAAAGAGCAATATAATTGACAATTGCAATATAGTGAGCATTGACTGGTATAGCTAAAAGTCTGATCCAATGTGTAAACAGATGGCTATCAGAAAGGGGGAATGGCAAACGTAGGCAAGTTAATTCAACATACCCAAAATAAAAACAAACATTATAATATCAAGATATTTTAAAAAAAGTTGATGATATTGTTCCTTTAAGTGCCATGCCCATTAGACTTCGATGGAAGGCCTGGCCTCACAAATCACTTGATTTTGAAGAGTAGTGGGCACTGGCATATAAGGAGGGAGGGAGGGAGACACTGGGAGACTAGGGGACTTTGGGAGACAAGGAAACACTGAGACACTAGGGACACTGGCACACTACAGACACTGAGAGACACCAGGGACACTGGGAGACATGGGGACACGGAGATACTAGGGACACTGGCTGGGAGACATGGGGTCTCAGTGTCCCCATGTCACCCAGTGTCCCCTAGTATTTGTGTCCCCATGTCTCCCAGTGTCCATTAGAGTCTGTGTCCACATGTTTCCCATGTCACTAGGACACTAGGGGACAGTTATAGACATTAAGACTCTGTGAGACATGGGGACACTGAGACACTAGGGGACACTGAGACACTTGGGGAAACATGGGGGCACTGAGACACTAGAGGACACTGAGATACATGGGGCACTGAGAGACTAAGGGACTCTGGGAGACACTAGGGACACTGGGAGACATGGGGACACAGACACTAGGGACGGTGGCTGGGAGACATAGGGACACTGAGAGACTATGGGCCACTGGGAGACATGGGGCTACTGTGTCCCTAGTGTCTCAGGGTCCCCATGTTACCCATGTCTCAGTGTCCACATGTCTCAGTGTCCCCAAGTCTCACCGTTTTCTCTAGTGTCTCAGTGTCCCCAGGTCTCCAAGTGCCCCTAGTGTCTGTTTTTTTCATTTGTCCCTATGTCTCCCAGTGTACCCAAGTCTCTCACCGTCCCCATGTCTCACAGTTTCTCTTAGTGCCTCAGTGTCCCCAGGTCTCCCAGTGCCCCCAAGTGTCCCTATGTCTCCCAGTGTACCCAAGTCTCTCACTGTCCTCATGTCTCACAGTTTCCTCTAGTGTCTCTGTGTCCCCAGGTCTTGCAGTGTCCCCTAGTGTCTCAGTGTCCTCAGGTCTCACAGTGTCCCCAGTTCTCCTAGTGCCCCCTAGTGTCTCAGTGTCCCTATGTCTCCCAGTGTCCGTGTCCTTATGCCTCACATTTTCCCCTAGTGTATCAGTGTCCCCAGGTCTCCCAGTGTCCCCTAGTGTCTCAGTGTCCCCAGGTCTCCCAGTGTCCCCTAGTGTCTCAGTGTCCCCTAGTGTCTCAGTGTCCCCAGGTCTCCCAGTGTCCCCTAGTGTCTGTGTCCCCATGTTTACCTGCAGCCTTTCGCCCCATCCTTTGGAGGCTCGGAGCTGCTGTCTGGACTCTCTGTGCAGAGCTGCTCCCCTGCGGATCACTGAGTAAAGAGGGGCAGGGAGGGAGATGCTGTAACTTCTTACCCCCTGCCTCTCTCCACACACACAGCGACCCCTAATGGCAAGTGCTGGTATTGCAGAATAATCTCTGTTTATTTTGAGACTGACATTTGTATTGCTGGTATTACTGCAATACCGGCACCGGCTAGGCAACCTCAAATACCAGAGAAATACTGGCCAGATGGCAACCCTAAGAGCAGTGTGTAAAAAAATCAATTAAAAAAAAAACTTTCATTTAAAAAAGATTTTAAAAAAATTTAATCCATGGGCCTATTCCATGGGCACGGGCCTGGAGCTGCAGCTCCATCAGTCCCTATGTTAATCCAGCCCTGGCCATCTCCACATATAACACTACCCTCACCTCTGCCTTGAACACTGCAGCCCCGCTCCAAACATGCACCTCGAGGAGGACACGCCCCCAACCGTGGCATACTAAATCAACACGCTATCTGCAAAGATGCTCCCATTGTGATGAACGCTCCTGGAGAAAGTCTTGCACCCAGTCAGACTTTCTCCATTATAGATTCATATTGTGTTCATCCAGCGCAGCCCTTGTCCTCGCCAAACAGTCATACTTTTCCTCTCTCATTAGTTCATGCTCCCGCAATCCCAGGCGTTTCTTTGACACTTTAACTCTTTGAAACCTTTAACAACTTTCGTCCTGCTGTGGCCACCCCCCAAATTAACCTTACAGCTGAAAGCTTTGCATGCTACTTTACCGACAAGATTGGACAGCTAAGGAAAGAATGCTCTCTGTCTTCTGGTTTTGTCCCTGCTGACCTTAAATATGATACTGTAGTACCTATCCTGAAAAAACATCCCTCAATCCATCCGTGTGTTAAAACCAGATTCCTTAAAATATGTTATCCAATAACATAATTCATCATTACTTATATTTATGTTGTGATAGACAGATATAGTGTTCTAGTAGAGATTGTAGCCGTATTAGTCCAGTGATGTAGATGTAAAAAACAGATAAAATTTGTATCTTGTAATACCTTTTTTATTGGACTAACAGAATTTTTGAATGACAAGCTTTCGGGAGAACCTCCCTTTCTCAAGTCTAAAGCATTTCTGAGCAAGACGACACATAGAATTCAAAGTTGAGTTGTGATACAGGGGTTAAAGTGACATGAGTGCAGATAAGACACAGGTTTGATAGAAAATAGACAACTTTCTTGCAGAGGGTCATAAATATATTTTCTGAAGTTCAGAGTGAGGGGGAGATTCAAGGGGCCCAGTGTTGTTAGGGCCACCTGATAGAGATGAATTTTCCAGGGGGCCCCGATCAGCACTGCTGCGCTTTAACAGCGGGACCGGGACCCTTGTGATTACATCACAGCTGGGAGGAAGTTACTGCCCGTCACTCCTCCAAGCTATCAGCAAGAAGTGGGAGGAAGGAGAGGGAGTAAGAGTGGGAACTCTGACTCCCACGAGCCTGAGCCACCAGGGAAACTCACCCTCCTGCACCTAAAAAGTAGGAAACAGGAGGGTGACTTAAACATTTTGTATATGTGTGTTTTTGTTTGTTTGTATGAGTTTGTGTGTGTTTATGTGTCTGTATGTATGTGTCTCTGTATGTGTCTGTATGTGTGTCTGTCTGTGTATGTCTATGTCTATGTGTGTGTCTGTGTGTCTGTATGTATGTGTGTGTCTGTATGTGTGTTTCTGTCAGGGGTTTGGGGGAGACAATGGATCAGTTTCACACCGGAGCCCTATGGATTGTGTGTACACCACTGAGAGGGTCAGAAATATCCTTCTGAAGATCAGAGTGAGGGGGAGAGGGAGAAAAAAAAACACAAGCAGAAATGCCAAACTGGACAGTTACATTGCAAGTTTCCGTCTAAGAACAGTATCCTTGACAACCAAGCAAAACTAAAAGAAAATATTTCATAATCTCTCAGTACATGAATAAACGGCTATAAATGACTTGAAAAATAATCATGCTATCACCATCAAACCAGCAGAAAAGGGAGGAGCAGTAGTGATAATGAACACCCAGGACTACATAAAAGAGGGGGACAGGCAATTGTCAGATGACAAATACTATAGAAAACTAAATGAAGACCCCCACCAAGGAATATACATTACAACTTAGGGAGCTCATTAAATCCTTCCCTGAGAATTTGCATCTAGAACTGCAATCACTCATTCCAACTAGTCGCTACATGGGCACTTTCTATATGCTTCCCAAAATCCACAAAGCCGGTAATCCTGGAAGACCCATAATTACAGGAATGGGAACTCTCACAGAACAGATCTCAGGACTGGTAGAAAATACCCTAAAACCTCTAGTCACCAACAGCTTCATTAAAGACACAGCCGACATCCTCAACAAACTCAGTCAAATCACCAATCTCCCTGCTAACACTATCCTTGTAACCATGGATGTGGAATCTCTGTACAACCACATTCCACATACAGATGGCATCATTGCTTGCTTCTATTTCCTCTCTTATGCCAACAACCAAAAATACAGTCACAAATTATCACAGAACTGGCCCTATTCATCCTCACACATAATTATTTAAGTTTTAACAATGAGGTTTACCTACAAAGGATGGGCACTGCTATGGTTAAGATGGCACCCCAATATGCTAATCTGTTTATGGCAGATCTTGAACAGCGATTCCTAGAAATACAGCACACCAAACTATACAAATATTTGAAAGTGAAGAAAAACTGATACAGTTCCATGATTCTTTTAACTCATGCCATCTGTCAATCAAACTAAAAATGGAATATTCCACCTGAATCCAATTGAGCACTTCTGGGACATCATGTCTCGCTCCATCCACCAACGTCACATTGCACCACAGACTGTCCAGGAGTTGGCAGATGCTTTAGTCCAGGTCTGGGAGAAGATCCCTCAGGAGACCATGCGCCACCTCATCAGGAGCATGCACAGGCGTTGTAGGGAGGTCGAACAGGCACGTGGAGGCCACACACACTACTGAGCCTCATTTTGACTTGTTTTAAGGACATTACATCAAAGTTGGATCAGCCTGTAGTGTTATTTTAAGCCACACAGGCATTCTAGTAAATAGATCATGTTTTTAGTGTAGTAGGTTATAAATTCCTTAATATTGTAAATATTGCTGTTTGAAATTAAAATCTCTAATTATACATCTGTGATTACCTGTTTTCTTACAAGATGCACACTGACCACAACCATAAAAACCTACCGTATATCCCAAACGGAATGGACTTTTCTCCTCATTCAGATTACTTTTTACTAGTTGACTTCTAATGTTTCTAACTCCTCGGTGGATGATTTTTGGCTCCTCAGTTAAAATATCCTTTAGAACAGGATCTTTTAGTAAGATGTGCCAGTGTCTTTTTATTATGTTTCTTACTTTTTTGTTGTCATACCGTAGTTGCATATAAAGTGGATACCCTCTATTATTCTGTTCCTGTTCTTCTCTCCTTTTGATTTAGATTTCAACAAGTCCTTCCTATTTCTACGTTTTATTTCCATTCTAACCAATTCCAATTTTTCTTCTTCATATCCTTTTTGTAGAAAGTCTTGCTTAATTTTTAGGGATTGCTCTTCATACATAGGAAAGTGGCTTACAAAAACATGCAAATGGAATTATGGAAGAACTGCCTTTTTTTACCCAATTAGTAAAAGTTTTTTTTAACATTTATGTTTCATCAATTTTAAAGGAACACTATAGTCACCTAAACAACTTTAGCTTAATGAAGCAGTTTTAGTGTATAGATCATGCTTCTCAGGTTTCACTGCCATTTAGGAGTTAAATCACTTTGTTTCTGCAGCCCTTGTCACACCTCCCCTCACTCTGACACAGCCTGCATGAAATAAAACCTAAAAACTATTTTCACATTATTATATTATTTTTATAGCGCCAATAAATTCTGTAGCGCTGTACAATGTGTTCAATCAGATGTAATTTACCTTAAACAATTGTACATCTTTCTCTGTAAATTGAATTTTAATCACATACAAGAGGCTCTTGCAGGGTCTAGCAAACTATTAACATAGCAGGGGATAAGAAAAACTTAATTAAACAGAACTTGCAATAAAGGGAAGGATAAACATTAGATGACTCTTTACAGGAAGTGTTTAGGAAGGCTGTGTAAGTCACATGCAAGGAGGTGTGACTAGGGTTCGTAAACAAAGTGATTTAACTCCTAAATAGCAGAGAATTGAACAGTGAGAAAGAAGGGGCATGATCAATATACCAAAACGGCTTCATTAAGCTAAAGTTGTTTTAATGACTATGGTGTCCCTTTAACCAATGTGTAAATGATGCAGTACTCCCTTACCATCTTGGTATCAGTGGCATACTTCAGCCTCATTGTCATGATCTTTTGCAGGTCAGATAAGACACTTATGCCGGGGTTGACTTTAGGTTCTTAATTTTGAATTGTTTGCATGTTTAGACAAGGTAACAATAAGAGTAACAGGAAAAAAAGGGAAAAGGAACAATAAGGACAAAGGGCGAAAGCAGAACCTATAAAATGAGATTACAGGTATCAAAGAGAAATTATAGGCTAGGAGGAAGAAGGAGAGCCTAGAAACGGGATTATAGAATGAAAGAAGGAGAACCTATAAATGTGATTACATGTAAGTAAGAAAGAGTAGTTATAGAAATAGTAGTTTAGGCAATATGCCCCAATCAGGTTTACAGAAAACCTATAAAGATAAATTATAAGTAACAGGCAAACATAATAGAGCAGGACAGAAATAAACAGGATATAATAAAAGCTTAAGGAATTCAGGTTAGTTCTAAGTTTAGATGATCAGTCTCTTGCTTGGAGGTTGTACAGCAGGTACCAGATAAGTGGAACAGAGTTATCCAGGAGAGTTGTAATTAATAGGTTTGTAAAGTCCAGGCAGGTTATGTTCAAAGCAATAAGTAATAATTAGGAAGTCCAGTATGAAATAAAGCAGGTTGTTTGGATGAATAAGGATGGATCAAAGGTAATCAGATTTAAGCAGGTTCTCAGAATGAGCCAGAAACAGATATCTTGTCTGTATCAGACCATAAACAATGTAAACAATGTAAAGGCCCATTGGTTAGTATGGCGTGACCTCTTATAGCACAATTCAGATGATCATTTTAGGCAGGTGTGAGAGACTGAGTTTAGACTACTGGTTAGGGAGGCCACTAGTGGTGGAAAACAGGTATTGCAGTACATAAAACAGCAGAAAAGAAATATGTCTGGTTGTTAGGATAGGATCCTGACACTCATATTTACATGTGAGGGTAGTCTTGGCATCTCTGATAAGGAAAGTGATAGCAGATGCAATTTACGCTATCACCCTTGACACATGTAGAGTGGTAATCTTCTTGAATGGGTAAATGAACTCCCATATACCAGAAACCCAAATCTAACAGAGTTATCAGAGTCCAAACAGATGTTCAAACAGCTACTAGATGCATACTTCTAAAAACAGAATATTCAAGGATATAATCTTTCAATGTAGGGTAATAGCTGCTTGATCCAAGGATAAATCTGACTGCCATTCTGGGGTCAAGAAGGATTTTTCCCCTAGCTTGTTGCAAATTTGGAAGTGCTTCAAACTGGGTTTTTCCCCTTCTTTTGGATCAACAACAAAAAACAAATGTGAGGAAGGCTGAACTTGATGGACGCAAGTCTCTTTTCAGCTATGTAACTATGTAACTCTGTATAAACCATACTGAATAACACAACACCATTGTAAGTGTGGTTCATATTGCTGTTCTTGTTGTGATTGCATTTTCTTCCTTTATCCTGGCCTTTCTAGCTTGAGTCACACTTTCCGCAACAGCATTTGGTAAATCAAAGAATAATGAAGAAGATTTTCGAGGGTGTTACTTTTTAACACAGACATGCATACCCTTCTTATGTGATTGTGTGCATGGCAATCGATGTTCAACATAAGAATTGTATGATTTTAATCTAATATCTTCACATTACCATTGTTGGTTTGTTTTTGTTTTTTATGTCTAATGTCCTCCCCCCTGGCCCCCACCCCTGAGCAGTGGGTGTGGGCCCTAAATTAGAATGAGGGGGAGGACCTAATGTCCTCCCCCTGAGCGGTGGGTGGGGGCCCTAAAATAGAAACAAAGAAACATAGAATGTGACGGCAGATAAGAACCATTCGACCCATCTAGTCTGCCCAATTTTCTAAATACTTTCATTAGTCCCCAGTCTTATCTTATAGTTAGGATAGCCTTATGCCTATCCCACGCATGCTTAAACTCCTTTACTGTGTTAACCTCTACCACTTCAGCTGGAAGGCTATTCCATGCATCCACTACCCTCTCAGTAAAGTAATACTTCCTGATATTATTTTTAAACCTTTGTCCCTCTAATTTAAGACTATGTCCTCTTGTTGTGGTAGTTTTTCTTCTTTTAAATATAGTCTCCTCCTTTACTGTGTTGATTCCCTTTATATATTTAAATGTTTCTATCATATCCCCCCTGTCTCGTCTTTCCTCCAAGCTATACATGTTAAGATACTTTAACCTTTCCTGGTAAGTTTTATCCCGCAATCCATGAACCAGTTTAGTAGCCCTTCTCTGAACCCTCTCTAAGGTATCAATATCCTTCTGAAGATACGGTCTCCAGTACTGCGTACAATACTCCAAGTGAGGTCTCACCAGTGTTCTGTACAATTGCATGAGCACTTCCCTCTTTCTACTGCTATTACCTCTCCCTATACAACCAATGTGTAAGAAGTTTTGTTATTTATTATATGTTTAAGTAATTGACAACCAATAACAAAATAAAAACGACAGCAGACACATTCTGGTTCAAAAAAAAAAAAAGTGTATTTCTCTTTGATCTATACATGCTATACATGTCATGCCATTTATGAATGTATAAGTTAAATAAAATATCACATCTCAATTGACTTCTGTTAAAGTACACTATACCACAGTTATATGAACACCAAGTTTTGCAGTTGTAATTTCAGTGGTGTGACTATGCTGAGGTCACAGGAGCATGCAAAAGCTTACTGAGCACCCACCACCAACTTCAGTAAAATAGTGCATATTACATGTTATACTCCACTGACATCTAATGTGTGTCACTGTTTTTTTTCCAGCCAGGAAACAATCTACAACAGTTTCCAGACAAACGTTACTCATCACTGTTATACACCTTTACAGCATATATTCTAAATCAGGTGCTGTTTAGAAAGTTACACTATAGTTACAGCTGTAATTACGTTCTAAGAGCTGTTGCAGTATCAGATAGATTTTCACAAATATATAGAAGCTGACATTGTCTTGACTCCATGTTTTTGTTAAAACAAAAAGCAAACATGTAGAATAAATTAAAAAAAGAAACAAAAAAAGTTAATTATTACTTTGTGCACTGAGTATTAATGTTTAGGCTTATTCCATGATCTTTATTGCTTAATTACCCTGGAAATTTAATGAAGCTGATGGGCAGAGGTTAAGATCTGTTACAATTATGCCTGTTGTGAATACAGTGTGTCTGTGTAATTTTCAGATTAATTACCATACTGCTTTTCATTTGAATATTCTGGCTTTTTTTTAGTTTTGATTAAATTTTTTTGTCTCTTTGTTAAATAAAAAAAATATGTACAGCTTGAAAACAATG